GAAGAACCATTCTTTTTGGCCGGTTCAGAATGATGCTTTTCCGGTACAAAACGGTGCTTTGTGGGGGCAGAACGATGCATTGCTGATTCAGAACGGTGTTCTCCCGGTGCAAAACGATGCTTTTCCAGATCAGAATGATGCTTTCTCAGTTCATAACGGTGCTTTGACGGTCCAGAATAGTGCTTTGCTGTTTCAAAACGGTGCTTTGTTGGAGCAGAAAGATGGTTTTGCGGTGCAAAACGATGCATTGTCGATTCAGAACGGTGGTTTCACGGTGCAGAATGGTGCTTTTTCCGTGAACAATGGTGGTTCCACGGTTTTGCAGGTGCATATCTGCGTAACCGGTTGAAAAACGAGGCTACTGAAGCTTAAACTTAAGTTCATTAACTAGGGTCTACAAATTATTTATCATTACTTGAAAAAGGTTATGTATATATTGAATAATGAGTACATTAACGTATAATTGTTTTATTTACGGTGCAGAACTACGCTTTTCCCCCGCTTCAGAACGGTGGTTTCCCGGTGCAGAACAATGCTTTGCCGGAGCAGAATGATGTTATCCTCCCAGTTCAGAACGGTGTTTTGCCGGTGGAAAAGGGTGGTTCCTCTTCCACTACGGTAAATAACGGTGCTTCATTGGCTAACGTTGCACCAAGGAATCAGAGAGGGAAATGGAGTGAGGACGAACACTTGTAAGCTTTTACTATTATTTTATTTATTTGTCTTTTTAATATTTCATTCTTTCTTTTTAAGGGGTAAAAACAACATTGACAAAAGAGTGTCATCTGTGTTTCTCTTTTGAGTGAATGATATAAATATTTGTTAATTGAAAACCTAATGTCACGTTTGTTTTTTTGGTGACAGGTTATTCTTAATTGGGCTTCAACAGCATGGTATAGGAAAATGGAAAGCTATTTCAGAACGTATTGGAACAAAAAGTAGGACACAGGTGGTGAGTCACGCCCGAAAATTCTTTGCGCGTCAGAATGCTGCACCAGAAAAAAAGAAAAGAAGAAGCATTCATGACATGGTTTTAGAAGACATGAATATCGTTATTGATCGCACCAATGCAGTTCGTGGCCCACAGAATGTTACTGCTCGTCATCCGGATCGTTGAATCCACCAAACAACATCACTCATCAAATGAAGGATTTTAGTTTTATATTAATTGAGTTATTAAATAAAGCATTCTTTTGTTTTGGATACATTTTATTGAAGGACCATGACCCATGCAAAAGATGTCACCAGCTAGCGCAAAAACATTATCAAGCCTCAATCCATATATAATATTACACAATTACACTGATCTACCTTATTCAAAGTTGTTTCTATCTCAGAACAACATTCTTTTTTTTCTCTTCCGGGGCTGCGCACAAGAATTCATGGCCTTGTAGATTTCAAGCCTCAATGTATAGCACACCAAAACACATGTCAACAACCAAAATAAATATGAAATAGTGACTCAAACTAGAAAGAGGACATATATAAGGTGAGAAATTGTTAGTATAAAACCTGCAGAATCATTAATTAGCATTCTTTTTTTCTTCAACTAATTACAAACATGATCCTACATTGCAAGTGATTCACGTGAATTGATTTCACCAGAAAAGCTAGCACACAGTGCATACAAATCGCTGAGTTCGAAATGTATATATATTAGCAATTGCGCATCTAGATATTTTTATTTAGTGATGGAAAAAAATAGTCCTCAATATTTTTATAATTGTCTTGTACACATTTAAACAAGAATTTATAATTTTTCATTGTGAATGCTATTAAAAAGAAATCTCTACTTAGTTTTCTTACATTTATTAAAAAAAATTAATAATTAGAAACAATACCTATTTTTTTAGAACA